ATAATTAAATGTCCACCCACTTTTTCCTTTCTGATGAAAGGCTCCCATGAAACTTACTAAAATAAGGTGCATAAAGATAGATGAATTTTTGATGAGTAAGTCGAAGCACCAACAAACCTGGCTTTCCACATAGGGAAAATTCTTCAATTTATAGAGAAATTTCAGGCCTAGATCATTAATACCATCATATTTAATGATAACTAACATGATAAAATCCATAGGGTCTCTGGAGATGTCACTGTTTTTGTTGGTAGTGATTGTAGTGTTCAGCATGAACTGACTTGTAGAAAACAAATAGAATTCAAAAACGAGAGTGAAATTTTCAAAATTGATTTTAGAGAAATATTAAATGATAGCCATTTAATCATAATAGCCTTTATAATAATAAATAATGAATTTATTAAATGTAATGGCATTCCTCCGAATAATAGTTATGTTACCACATTAGGTTTAGAAACTACATCTCTGAGATAGCAAATGGCTTGAAAGATGTTGTTGAATTGTCAGAAACTTTTTATGAGGGAACTCTGGAATAGAGTCTATAGTGTCTGCTTTTGATAATTAATGGTAATGGCATTTACTAAAATTACTGTGAAGAATTAATTTTAAGTACTTATATGCAGTAGAGTAGCGAGCTTCTCTGCTTAGTAACTGAGCTCAGACATATATTTCAAGTCCAGTTACTAGAATCCACAAAGTCAATATTTTAGAAAGAAAAAGAAGTTAAAGTTAATTGGTACTATAAATGTTTTCCTTCATTCAATATGGATTTATTGGGCATGAGCTGTATAGACTTTGCTATCAGAGAAGCCTCAAAGCAATAATCCTCTCTAGAACTAATGAATATTTTTATCTGTAAACTAAATTTCATATTTTTATCTTCCTATTCAATAGATTTTATTGGCAGAAACCAGTAGAGATAATGGTGCTCTAAGTCACCAACAAGGTGACATCAAAGTACTGGGGAGCATATGAACACATATGTCATTAATTGAACACCTTTGTCATTCATTGCTAATCACTATGTGAAGATGACTTTTAAAATACTCCTGACTACTTCTTATCCTTCCCTACTGTGGTTCTGTGGATCCAAGAACACAGAGTAACTTGGATGCTCAAAGTAGGAAAAGTTTGCATAATAGGTACTCAGTTCAGCATAACCAAGATAAAATTAGCCACAAAGTTCTAGATTCTCTAGTTACTGGCACTACCCAGGGTTTTATAACCATCATTACCCATGATCATTTTATACTAAACTACAATAATAGATGTGGTGACGCATCTGAGGTCTCCTCCTGTATTATTAGTATAGCGGGACACCTCAGATGTGTCACCACCAGAGAACAGGCATGTTCAGACCAAATTCATCGGCCACTGTCCTCCTCATTTCTGTTGTTTTTTTCCGAATTCCCCAGATCTTTTTGTTTTTCAGATTATTACCCACATAATTTTTCAATATTTCATTTTCTGCTTTGTGTTTAGTCCTACTTTTTACGATCTTTTTGTCAAAGTTTCACGTTAACCATTATTTAAAGAGTTCCTTTAACAGTGTGGAGGTTTTCTTCAAAGATTTGATAGAAATCTTTAAAAATGGGCTTTTTTTCTCATTTAAGTCTTATTTCAACACGTTCATTGATTTTAGATTTCTCTGACAAACATGGCTGAGGTATCAAAACCTAGACATGTTGATACCAGCTTTTTCTCCAAGTCAGTTAGAATATAAGACTTTCTGTCCTGCTATGTCAAATTGCCCAACTAGGGAATAAGATGAGTGTATGTGCATGTCTTTGGGGTGGGGTGGCAAAGAGCAAGGAAGTGGGGGATTGTTAAACAGTCTATACAAGGAGAACTCACATTGTCCTCCGAAACTGATATATTTAGGCTCTCCTATTTTCCAGGAGTCTATCATAGACACTTCTGTCTCAATGTTTGTAGTAAATTAATGAATTAATGATGATTTTCTCTGTTGCTTTGGTTAGGAATATCCTTTCAAAAAAAGACTTTTCTGGGAGATAAATGCAGTACTGTTTTTTCTTCTTCATGAGATCGACACACACACACACACACACACACACACACACACACAGAGCGAGAGAGAGAGAGAGAAACAACCTAGTGTGCAAGCAGTATGCCTAAAAATCATTTTCATTTTCTCTTGTTATAGGAAACTATAAGTCTGTAAGTCTCTTAGTTGAAAAAAAAAATTTGTCACATCATAGAATTTAAGAAACTTGGAGTGACCTTAGATATTATTCTGTCTAACTTTCATTTTATAGATAAAGCAAATGAAACCCTGAGAAGAGTAGTGGCCACAAATACTTTGCTATTCCTTCTATTGAGAAATGCAATCTCACTGCCCCCTTTTCCTGTGTCTGGGCAGGCTCTGTAATTGGTTTGACCAATAGAATACAAATGACAACTTCAACTTCCTATTTCTTGCTTGCATTTGGGACTTCTCATCTAAGAACCCAACCACCATGCTGTGAAAAGCTGAAGCTACATGAAGAAGCCAATGATTGATGCAGCAGTCGACAACCACAGCTAAGCCCCCAGCTGACAGTTAACATGCACTTTCAGTCATGTGAATATGCCATTTAGCATGTCCGGACCAGGCCAACCTTTGGCAGGCTCCATTCCCTGCCAGTATCTGACAGCAATCACTTGAGAAACCTTAAGCAAAATTTGCCCAGCTCTTCCTAGTTAACCCATAGATTAGTGAGAGATAACAAATAGTTGGTTTAAGCCATTAAATTTCAGGATGGTTTGTTATATAGTAAAAGCTCATTGGAAATGAAAGTGACTTAGACCAAAGCGTCTAAGCATTACCAGAGTGAAAACCAGAACTCATATATCATCCCAAACCTCGTATAATCTCATTATCTCATTATAATGTGTTAAGGTAACATGTTGAGTTAAATGAGATCCAGTTTCAGTCTCCCAATAGTTCATAATTCCAAAATAGTGTATTCTTTTAAAACTCACATGGAATGCAGAATTTCCAAAATTCTTAAACTTTAAAATTAATTCTTAGATCTGTGTCTACCTAACAGTAAGCCATCATTTGGTATAAGGTAGCACTCCCAAGTGTTCCTCGAAGGTAGTGTCTTAGTAATGTACCATGAAAGAAAGAGAGATAAGTAGATTTAATTTGTGTAAATTAAATTAAAGAGGTCTCTTTGCTTCAGGATTTTTCAAGAATGTAAATTTTCCAAGAGGAGCTATAGATAGTCCTTTTTTTCCTAAAATTGTTTGACCAGGGCACCTTTCTTCATCAAAAAACTAAACTGAGAAATAGGAAGAGGAATTCAATTTTGTCAGCATAAACCAAGTTTTGCTTTCAGAGGATTTCATAAAAAGAAGTTGTTTTCATAATTCAGTTGTCTTCAGCTTAGAGAATACATTTTTAGATAACACTTTTATGACTTTCAGGGACTATGCTTAGTTATGTTTTTTACAACCTGTTCCCATTGCTTTCCCCCCTTACTTTTAACATTCTTTTCTGTGTACAGTTAATAAATCTTTCTGGAATGTGTAGATGAAGGAATAAATAAAAGCGGATAAATAATAAATAATTCAATTAATTAAAAATTATCCTGAAATGTTTCATTAACAATGTCAATGACTATGAATGGACCCAAAGGTTTTTGAGCCAACCCCTCATTTAGTTTAATAACCTGGAAATTAGCTCCAACTCTAATTAGCTTGGTTTGGGTTTTGTATCTTTATTTACATCTAAGGCCAATTGAAATGGTAACACTTACCGTATCTAACAGAGTTCTTGGGAAATTCAAAGGAGATTTCAAAGTTGGAGGTAGAACAGTTTTGGGCTACGAAAATTGCAGTAATCATGTATTCATCCATTACTTTCATTTTCTAGTTCTGGAGATTGAGATCCGGAAAGAGAGTTTATAGTGCAAATGCTAGTGGCACTGGAAACCTCCTCCCCATGGATCCACATTAAAGATGTTAGGAAAGTTCTCTTTTTCAGTAGATGTTATATTGATTGGTGTGATTCCAATTCACATCCTGATTATTAGTCAGAAGCTTTACAAGCATTTGGGCCATGAAAACATATTTCGCCACAGAATTCATGACTGGTATAGGAAGGTGTGGCGGTCAAAACATTTAATAACCCATATGGCATGGCCACTGATAACCAGAGTAGACACCAGCCATAAACGACTGGTGCAGCCATGCTCATGAGTATGAGCCATACTGAATAGCATCTCAGCTCTAGTGATCTAGTAAATAACATTTCCCACTTCTTGCCACTGGTTTGTGGCCTTGTGAATACTGTCATCTTATTTGTATTAGAAATTCCTCTATTCAGGCTGTCTCTTAAAGTATACTTCTGTTATTGATATCCATAATACAGTAAGTTCTATTATCTCTCTCCTGGGAAGCTATCAGCACTTCCCAGCTCCTTCAGCAATATGCTATCCTGCTACAAAAAATCATGGTGCGTCCCCATGTCTCCAGTTACCAAGCAGAGGGAATAATAGTTTTACTGTCTTCTTTTGTCCCTATGGGGACATGAGCCAATTCACTACCCCTACTTACTTATTCCTGGATCTCTCTACCCTGTATATCCTATATTCTTGTTCTGTAGTCATGCTACATAGTTAAATATGACTTGAAAGGCTGATAGAATAATGCAGCTACAAAAAGATGGCAGAGAAATAATAAAATAATATGAGATAGAGTACTTGATACTTTTAAGTCAGAATGGGAAGAAAATATTTGTAAGGATAAATCCAAGTATCTGCATTTAGCTAGTTCCTTTGTGAAGCTCTGATAAAATATGCATTAAAAAATAAGACAAGTCAATGTGGAGTGATCTATACAGTTGGACATATACACCTTCATATCACCTTGACCAGACTCCGCTGTATTTGTAACATGGTGTCAAAAGTTTTTATTTGGGTACAATTCAACCATAAATGGAGAATGGGAGCCTCATTCTCCCAGACTTTAGTGAGTTACAGTTCCAGCATGCTTACCTCTACAAGCCTGCTGGTGTGTTCATGAAATATCGCAGCATATTCTTTTATTTCCTTCTCTCGGCCATTCTTAGCAGCTTCAATGAGGACCAAAAGTGGGACTGTCGTATCCAAGAAAGAGTCTGACACATGATCTATAATAGCCTTGCGGAGCTGAGAAGAAATGAAAAATTCAGGTTTTTTTTTTCCAGGAAATGGTTCACTGTTTCCTTTTCTTACAATCTCAGTAGTTACACAACTCATTTTATTCATTTTTGCCCAATTCCTAAAATCACAATATTTAAGGATATAAAAAATGTCCCTTAAGAAACTAAAAAACAAAATATCCAGCCAAAAAAAAATAAAAATCGTCTAGCAATAGTTCCTTTCCTCTCAAAAGTAATTTTTCTTAAGTTATTTAACCTGGAAGTCAGACTAAAAATGGCAATACTTTCTTTGTTGCTCAAAGAAATTATGCTATTAGAATATGTATGCATGTGTATAAATAACATTGTACATCTTGTATTTTCATAATTACAAATTATAGAATGTTTTCTACCTTGTTGGAGGAGCTGATGATAAATTTTGATTAGCTAAATTGTATACTTCATGGTAATTAAGCCAAGTTAGATCACCGATTATGCCAGTTGATAACAGGTTAATAGAGCAGGAAGAATAATAAATGAGTTTGATGTCCAATTTTCCCCATTTGCATTAACTGTTCTTGTCCTCACACCTTAAATTATGAAACAACTATAACATTCTGCTACAATTAAATTAGATTACATGTAAGCTTATTAATGACAATTAGGCAATTACTCTAGTCAGTAGATATTTTCTGAGATTTAAAACTGCATTGAAAAATTAATTCATTGTATTTATATAATATCAAGTCTTTAAAGATCATAATATCGGGCGGGGCACAGTGGCTCATGACTGTAATCTCAGACTTTGGGAGGCCAAGGCAGGAGAATCACAAGGTCAGGAGTTCAAGAACAGCTTGGCCAACATGGTGAAACCCCGTCTATACTAAAAATAAAAAAAATTGGCTGGGCATAGTGGCAGGCACCTGTACTCCCAGCTACTCGGGTGGCTGAGTCAGGAAAATCGCTTGAACCCAGGAGGAAAGGGTTGCAGTGAGCTGAGATCACACCACTGCATTCTAGCCTGGGCGACAGAGTGAGACTCCATCCCCCGCCCCGCACCAAAAAAAATCATAATATCCTGAAATGTTTCACGAACAATGTCAACAACTATGAATGGGCCCAAAGGTTTTTGAGTCAACCCCTTCATTTAGTTTAATAACCTCTGTACAATAAAACAAAAAAATAAATAGCTATCAGACAGAAAAATGTAATTTTTCTGTGAAAATTATATTTTAGAGTTTTTTTTTTTAAGCCAATAGATACTTAGTCTAGTTTTAGATTACTTGGGAATGAATGGTAATACATTTTTGGGGAGCTGAATGATAGAGCTACATAGAAAGTACTGTCTTCTATCATGATCATAGAATAATAAATCCGTAATAATTGTAGGTTTCTGGAAGAAAAATACCTCTGCCCAAAATGGTGAGCTTGCTCAGAAGCATTGTAAAAATTTTCTGACTATCAACAATTTAAGAAAGGCTTCAGGAAGATCCCCAAGGAAGGATTCTGCTTAGTATGCGGAAAGGCAAATTACTAGTGGCAACTAATTAATATTTACTGAGCACTTATTAGGACAAAGTATAGGGTGCTAAGGGGTTACAAGGCAAAGGGAAGACTTTAACTGAATGAATAATGTGTTTGCTCTCTATAGGAAGTACACCAGCGAAGTCAGGCATAAGGTCACTAATTTATTTGAGCTGGGAACTACAGGTTGTGTAAGTTTCAGACACTGAAAAGAAAAGTAGAGATTCCTTCTAATTTCTCAGAGTGGGGGCATTTTTTAATGATTGTCCTCCCCTTTATTCTTTTCTTCTTTCATTGATAATTGGGACATGTAGATTATTCTTTTCTTCTTTCATTCTGATTGAGACATGTAGAAGGAAAGCTCAGATGAAATCTACACTAGAGATATGCCATGAAGGGCCAGCATATGGGAACTAACTCAAGCAGAGAGTGTGGATGAGACCATATAGAGTGAGGAGACCCATGAAGGACCTCTTAGGAAACACTACCATTTACAGGAGTCATGCAGATTAAAGAGTAGGGCCTAAAAAGAGGCTGAGAAAGCAGCCAAGAAACAAAGAGACAAATTACCAACAACTAAAAGACAAACTTTCAGATATATCTCTGTGTTAATGCTCTTCAAATGTAGTTATCCTACCAAACATAACTATAATATTCACATCATGGACTGGTTAAATCTTCTCTTCTGTGTAAATGATTTCATTCAATACAGTATATATTTCTGGAAACCATTTTCTCATCTTTCTACCAAGAGAAAGGTATTGAAGGAAATGTTAAGATGGAAATTCATGATCCCTTATAATCTAGTAGAAGAGTGAATATTACAATAATACATTAAACATTACAATAAAGAAAAACTCAGAGACTGACAGCAAAAAAAAAAAAATAGAGACAAATTTTAAAGATAAGTTAAATTTAAAAAAAGGAATGAGACTTATCCATTGGGCTTGACTACTAAGAGGTTATTGATAAACTTGGTAAGAGCAGTTTCAGTGGAAAAGTGGGTCAGGAGTCCTATTGCTATGGTTTGAAGAGTGAATGAGAGACAAGGCAGTCAAGACAGTGAGTATAAACTCCTGTTTTTAATAATTTGATTGTGACGTAAAGAAGCAAGACTTAGTATTTGCTACTCTGAGATATATGTTTAAAGAGTGACTGTTTTTCATATAAAAGACATCACTATAATTTCCCATCTGCAACTATAGCCAAAAAGTCTTATTACTCCCCATTGCTTTGCTGGAAATACATATTGATTTATTGCCAAAGCAAGAATAAGAGGTGAAAAAGAACTATTGTCTCACATTGTGCCAACCTTTGTCATCTTTTCGTCCCATGACAGAAGGAAATGTCCAGAAATCAGTGACTTGAGTTGGACGTGAACAAAACCTTTAGGAGCTAGCATATGGTCAGAGGCAGGGAGGTATCTCTCCCATGGAAATCATCTTAACCCATGCAAAAAACAAAGTGTAACTAATTCAACCAACCCACAATATTCTCACCAGCCCCTGTTGAACTTGTTGGTTCCTGATCCTTCACCTTCACTATTATGAACACATTATAGACTTTTGGTGCCTTATATCTCATCCTCTGGATCTATCTCTGATTTCAGCTTTTGCTGGGGGAACAGTTGCATGTCCTCTGAAGACATTCCATGCTTCTTGTGTGCATTCCTTGTGTCTCTTTGTTATTCTGTCTCAGGGCCTGTTCCTAGTCTCTGTGAAATTCTCAACCCAGCATAAACACTGCCTGGAAGTTCTTCAGCGTACATACCACTGGGGGAAACCCTCAACCTATGGAGATAGAAACTACCACATAAAATTCCTAGTCTCCATCCATTAGTCAGACAATTCTGGGAAACAGTCTGTTAGTTCTCAGAGATCCGCAAGCTCTCATTGCCTACAGCAGCAATCTCAATAGCATTATCATTTCCTCTTTCCCTGACTCTATTACATGTTCTATTACACTTGCTTCCAGGAATCATCTCCTAAATAAATGACCTGCACTAAGGTCCTCGTTTTAGTCACTGCTTTTAGGAAAACCCATTCAAACAGGTACCTTTGTCTGGTATTAATGTCATTTCATCATGCACCAAGTAAGAGACTCCAATCTCTTATGTAAACTACTCATTGCTAATTATACTCTACTACCTTGGCTCTGTACATCACTGAGTTTTGTTCTGCCGTACCCTGAATTACACTCAAGAGGAATTATTATGAGATAGGACTAGAAGTGTAGGTAGGGACAAAATGTGAAAGGACTAGAATGTTATGTTAAGCAATTTTCTTTATATGTTCTGACATATTCATACGGGATTGTTTTCATTAAATTGTACAGTCATATATACCTACATGTAATACCAAAGTAGCCTCTATCTTATTTCTTTCCATATTATTTTCCTGCCCAGTAACACAATGCATTCCTTTCAATCGGGTGATATACAAAAAGTTTAAAGAAGAGTCCAATATGCCAATATAGAAACAGAAGCCAAAGCACTAAAATCTGAAGTTAGTGGGAGGCCAATAGGAATTACAAGTACATATTTTCAATAAATACCTGTTTGTGGCCAGGCATGAAAGATGTTAGAACAAAACCAAACTGAGGTGCTTTTCATCTTTTCTCACTATAGTTTAATAAAAGGCTTTGAGACATCAATTTTTCTATTTCCTACTGATGTAAGTGGTTTGGGATCTCAAAATAATATATATCTCTACAATTGAAGCCCAAAGTGAAAGCCCTGTGTGAGAAGTCTAAAAAAGCCCCACCACTGCCACCAAATAAAGGAACAAAGAATGAAATTGTGAGGGGAAGGGGAATGGAAAATGGAGAAAGTGTTTCAGAAACAAATCATCCTCAGGGAAACAGAAAAACACATTTAGACTAGAATATTTTAAATTAAAATATTGTATTAAATTTTTAATAAATTAACAGTATTTAAATTTTAGTAAATATTTTAAATTAAAAGCCACTTTAATTTAAATCAAATAGCAAAATGTGATCTTTTAAAGCTTGTCTAACAGGAATTAAATCAACTAATAATTATTTCACTGTGTATGTACTATGTAAATTTAGTGAAACTTCTCTCTTGTGGATACATAACGTTATTTGATGATGAGGATGATGACCAGGAGGTATAAAAGCCTACATATTTTTTTCTGAGTGGTGAACTGGTACTATGCAACATAGAGGAGAGATGGACCTAGCAATTCAGAAACTCAGCAACTGAAGAATTAATCAAATTTTTGTTTTGTCTGTTTTTACCAAAATCCCATTTGACATACTTCATCTTTACTTTGGCATTTATGAAATAAAAGACATTTTTTCTTAATATACACAAATAAAAATTTTAGCCTGCTTTTAGTGAAAACAAATATATTTTTACTATGTATAATAAAATAGAAATAAGATATATTTGTTGCTTAAATATTTTTAATAAAGTAAAGGATGTTTAAAAAGTCTTCCTCCTTTTATTGAGAGAGTTACAATAGGTATACAGTTTTCAAATGAATGATGGAAAAGGAGGCTAAAGAAAGAAGAAAATTTAATTTTAAAAAAGCATTTAAAACAAATAATAAAGAAAATAATATGTGATAGTAAAATCAGTGTCTTAGGCACTGGGAGGTTCTGAAAGTGAATAGGCCATAATCCCTAGCCCATTGTGTAGTGACTACACATACGGGCTGGGGTTGGATAGACCTGGGCTAGAACTGTGTCTCTACCACTTAGCTGGGTGATGTTTGCTATGTTAACTCATTTTAGGGGACAGAGATAACAATACCATGGCATTATTTATTGTTTCAGAAATAAAAATCAATAATGAAATGAATACACTTGGTAGAGAGCTTTGCAAAGCATTTAGTAAATGACAGATGTTGTCATAACTATCATTATAAGGACTTAAAGTGCAGTGGGAAGAAAACTCATTATAAAAGAAAAAAATACAAGAATATAATCATTGCTGTAATAGAAGTGCACATGCTGTAAGTGTTCCAGGAAGAAAAAGATCCATTCCAGCTGGTGAAAACAGCAAAGGTTTCATGGAAGCAATAGCATTTACGGTACTCTGGAATGTAGTTGCTTATGTGTTGGGTGTGTGTGTAAATAGAGTTAGTAGAGAAGGCTTCAAGCTGTACAAGTCATATCTACAAAGAAGCAAGTGTATTTGAGCGGGAGGTGACGCAAATTCTGGTAAATAACAAGTAGACTCTTTTGTCAGAAAGCAGGTTAATGTGAGCCTGGCGCAGTGGCTCACACCTGTAATCCCATCACTTTGGGAGGCCGAGGCGGGCAGATCACGAGGTCAGGAGTTTGAGACCAGCCTGGCCAACACGGTGAAAACCCGTCTCTACTAAAAACACACAAAAAAAGTAGCAGGGTATGATGGTATGCACCTGTAATCCAGGTACTTGGGAGGCTGAGGCAGGAGAATTGCCTGAACCTGGGAGGCGGAGGTTGTAATGAGCCGAGATCACACCACTGCACTCCAGCCTGGGTGGCACAGTGAGATTCTGTCTCAAAAAAAAAAAAAAAAGAGAGAGAGAGAAAAGAAAACAGGTTAATGTGTTGGTGTGATGAGGAGGTGACAACACTGAGAAGGAGAGCTGAAGGAAAAGGAACATTAAGAATAATGGGGATTAAGTCAGGGCCAAATCACAGAGAACCTAGAACACCATGCCAAGAACATTTGTCTTTGTTCTCTAGTAAAACAGGCAAGAAAGTCACAGAGGAAGAAGGTTGAAACAAATAAATACTTTCACCTTCTAGAACATTCCATCTCGATGTCCTCAAATCTACAATTTGCTTCTCCTCAGATATTTCTAAGCAATCTCCATCATTCCTCATGGAAGAAGTCCAATCACCCTCTGAACTGAAGCTGAAATGTTTCTGCATTACTGATAGAAAGGCCATAGTACATGCACACATATGTTTATTGCGGCACTACTCACAATAGCAAAGACTTGGAACCAACCCAAATGTCCATCAATGACAGACTGGATTAAGCAAATGTAGCACATATACACCATGGAATACTTATACAGCCATAAAAAGGGTGAGTTCATGTCCTTTGTAGGGACATGGATGCAGCTGGAAACCATCATTCTCAGCAAACTATCACAAGAACAGAAAACCAAACACTGCATATTCTCACTCATAGCTGGGAACTGAACAATGAGAACACTTGGACACGGGAAGGGGAATATCACACACTGGGTCCTGTAGTAGGGTGGGAGAAGAGGGGAGGGATAGCTTTAGGAGATATACCTAATATAAATGACGAGTTAATGGGTGCAGCACACCAACATGGCACATGTATACATATGTAACAAACCTGCACGTTGTGCACATGTACCCTAGAACATAAAGTATAATCAAAAAGAAAAAGAAAGGCCATGGTTAAGAAAGGGGATAAGGATGAATGGGCAGGAAGATGGGCTCTGCTTATTTTTTACTAAAAAAGTTTTAAAAAGATAAAACCAGTTCTAAAGCAAACAACGAACATTAAATACTCCAAAGAAAAACATTTTAAGGGCAGTGCTTTCTCTTTCCTGTGAGAAAAACTATATGTGAGATGCTTACAACAACTATTGGATAAACTCCTCAAGAATAAGAAGTGGAGATAACTTATGTTGCTGTTTTAATTAACTGTGATTTCTACCAAAAATGTAAACATCAGGATGAAAAATAAAGTACTGGGGCGGGGGGGGCGGGTAAGTGAGGATAACGAGAAAGAATCATAGCAACCAACTTCATCAAAATGGAAGATCATGGAGGTGTTACATCAAAGATAGTTTCTAACAATTCCATCCATTCCTGTACACACATATCACTTCTCCTACAACAGATAGAGCTTCTGCCTTCTCCTATTGAACTAGGACAGGGTTTTCAACTGTTTTTGTCTTGCGGATTATGGAGGAAATAGCATTCTCTGACTTTGGAGCTAAGGCACTAAGAATGCTTGTCAGCTTCCATCTCCCTTTTCTTGGCAGCTTGAAACAGCACGTAAGAGATCTATCTAGGCTACCTTGCTAGAGATTGAAGCCACATGGAGGGACCCTAAAACATTAGGCACCCTATGGAGAAAGGGAACAGGAAATAGCACTGAGGTTCCAAACACCAAGTCCCAAATCCAGCCACAGTTGCCATTTGACTGCCACTACATGGAAAACCACAAGTGAAAACAGTACAGAAAATGGCCCTGCTGACACCCAGCCAACCCAAGGCATCGTGAGATGCAAATATGGTTGCTATTGTTTGTGGTGGTTTGTTAAACACTGATAGAAAATGGAAACAATGGAGATGTTAACCTGTGAAACCACACAGAGTGTTAATACCTTCAGAGCACAGCAGTTTTCTACAAGATAGGAGTATCTCCTTACTATGAAGAACAGTATTAGTAATCCCCATTGCTATTTCTATATCTCACTCATGGTAGTGAGGTGGAAACACAAGTAGGATTGCAAGATAAAATACAAGATGCTCAGTTACATTTGAATTTCAGATGAACAACTTTTTAAATATAAGTATGTACCATACAATATTTGGGACATAATTATACTAAACCATGTTTGTTGTTCATCTGAAATTCAAATTTAACTGGGTGCCTTGTGCTTTTATTTGCTAAATCTGGTAATTCCACACACAAGTAATTGCCTTTTCTTGATTTTATTTAGAAAAATAATAATTCTAAAACCTTTGGAAGTATAAATGTAGATTAGCTCTTTATGCATAATGTTGTTGAAGGTAATATAGAGGGAAAAGACACGAACGAGAGACACAATCATTGAGAGCTCATAGAAACAACTTTTCTGAGTCCTAGGTGAAGCAGATGGGGTAGAAATCCTTAAGACGATGGAGAATAGAGATCATTCCACAAAACTGGAGGATGGCTCTGAGGATATAAATTTCTGAGTCCTGGTACAGGTTCTGACTCAGTGCCCCATCCTCTTAGGCAGGTCACCTCACCACACTGGCTTGCTTTCTCATTTGCATTGTAAGACAGGTTGTGCTAAGTTCCTTCGGACTCTTACATTCCATGATTACAAGTGTTAATGGTAGAAATAGAACTCACATTAAGGGCATAAAGTTGAGAAACTGGGATTTTCGCAGACTTGAACATTATGTTTTTATGCAGCTATTATTAACTGGTTGGAGATCCCTATTTATTCTATTTCCAAATCTACTTCCAAATTAAAAGACTGCTCAGCCATTTTACTAAATCTTGTCATTAAGTTACAATAATATATTGCATTAAGAGCTCATAGTTGAAAAGCTTTTTGTCCCTTTTGATGGGTTAATGATGACCAAGTTAAAGTTGCACATGAGAAAGAACTCTGGCTATTGAACAGAGGAAAGGAATGAAGAGCAAATGTCTTTGAAAATAGCTAAGTCTTCCTATTTCTGAAAAATATTTAATTTGTGGCATAATATTAAACTTCTAAATTGTTTAATGAAATTCTTTCTAATCCCATGTTCCTGGTTATCTAAGGTTAAAAAGAAGCCTTAACTTTTACAAAAACTAATTTTTGAAGTATCCTGAAAAGAAAAATTGAAGGAGGAATGGGAAGGGTCTCTGAACTACTTACTAGTCAAACATTTGGATTTAAGCATTTGGATGATGAACTCTGATGTAACAGAATAAATTTATCAACTTTCCCTAAAACCTTGCCATGGGTCAGGCACTTACATGCATTTTATTGATTCCTCACAGCCCTATTGCATATTATTAATTTCCTTTTATAGGTTCAGAGAAGCTCAGAGAGCTGAAATTTGTGCCCAAGATCTTATAACCGATGAGGACAGAACCAGAATTTGAACATAATTCTGTCTGATAAGGCACACATTCTTTCTTCTACTTTATGTTTGCCACAAAAATGTTTGAGGTATGAATATATAAATGTGAAAAGTATATATTTATTCTTCTTTTCCTGTTCTAAATTAATTTGAAAGGAACAAAACAAGAAATAAATATGTCTACAATGAATAACAGTTTCATTTAGCCCCTATGTTTCTGACTCCGTATCTCTCTCTTCCCTCACCTGTCTGCGAAGGTCTCTTGTCTTCTTACACATGTTGTCTAAAGCAATATTCAGGGTATTACTCCTTTCTTTTTTTCCAGCCTGCAAAGAAGAAAACAATGACATCAGCAATGGTATCAATTAATCTTTATCACTTAGCAATTTGCTTTCTAAATTTCCTGAAAATAACAGCTTGAAATTCAAGAATAGGTTTCAAAACTGCTATATTATATATGATTCATGAGCATTTCACTTAAGACTAAGTAGAATGGTGATTAAAGTTCACATTATTTTCATCTTTAAGCGTCTGTAATATTTCCGATACAGAGTTAGGTGGTATTCAGTGTGACAGTAGGCAGAGCATTATCTTCATGAAACTCTGTTCTTCATTTTTAACAAGTCAAATCTTAAATCACTAAGCACGCAATTAGCTTAAAAGCATTAGATGCCCAATTTGTCAACTTCTGTGGGAGTTTCTGAAGTCATTCCTATGGTGTATTGTGTAAGTTATGCAGAGCCATACTGGAGTTTTGCTAAACACTAAATAAAATATGCAGTGCAAATTCATACAACTTGCAAAAGTTGACCACAATTTTAGCTGACAATATTCCAAGAACAAATTGTTTTAAGTAAAAACTGGACGCTGTTTTTGGCTCTTTAAGATAATTTGTGCAACACCTTTTTATTCTTTGAGCAGAACAGCTCTCTGTTATATCCTTAACCTAAATCTTTAGGCTATTAAGCACATAGAGAGTCACCTTGGTTGGTATTTTCTACATATTATTTTCGTGCAAGACAACTGGATTAAATCTAATCATACTTTTTGCCATGATATCTCACATAAAAGAGATTGGAAAAAATCATTATGTGATTCACCTCTAGGAAAATTGCTGCTATTTAAATTAATAAACTGAAAAGGGCTCTTGAGAGGAGACCTTGAAAATCAGGAAGGCAAGTTTAAGCAGCTGATAACTGAAGGGGTTTACAGCACAAACCCAGTGAAAAACGACACTGAGACCAAGTATAAACCACGAGGCAGCATGTCTGACACTTTCCCCAATGACTAAACTCATACGTAAACCCATACTCTCCAGTGGACTCTGTAACAAGAAATTCAAAAACTTTCTATACTCTGTCCTAACCTATTTTTTTTACTTATGTACTGCTATATACTCTCCTTTACAGTAGCAATACTCCTATACTTTTCTGTCTCTTCTCCCCAGTTCTTACATGCAATGTCCCTTTGATTTCAGACAGCATCTTCTAAAACAACACCTACTGAAGTCCTATGTCTTCCTCACTGGTTTCCACAAGGAGTTCTTCCAACAATCCTGCTCAAAAGTAAACTCTCACTTTTCCTTTTTCCAACAGAATTTTGATCATTTTTCAATATAATCATTTTATTTCTGTGCATAACCCTTATGATACTGTTAGAATTTTGATATTACAACATATATCTTAAATTTTTTCTATTCCTGATAGTAACTTACATAGGACTTATTGAATAGAGTTGACTAGTTTATAAATGAACAATTTAATTCAAAACACAACATAGTTTGATTAGAGGCCTACTATTTTCCAGGAAGGTGTCATTCTAGGGACCCTGGAGGAGATTTTAGCATTTAGCCCTCAAGGCACTGCTAAAGTTCTCTGTGAGCTGAGGTTGCTGGTATCTACCTCAACCTCAGGTCAACCTATATTTTCCCAGCAGCAGTGCTATTGATATTTAACGTGTGAAAAATATTGAGATCATTCTATACATTGCAAGATATCTGGCATTCATGGACCCAGGTCTGCTAAATTCAATACCAAATCTGATGCACTTTGACAGCCAAAAACTGGCACCATATATGTCCAGCTGCTTCCCATAGGGAGACACAGTAGAAGGCCACTAAGTCTTTACCACGTTTTAGTTTCTTATAAAGAAAGTGTGGAATGTGTACACAATGGAAACTGTGTCTAGTGAAGAAAGAAGGAAGAAAAGGGAAACAGGAGAGATTTGGTTAGGTTATTTCTATGAACATTAATAACATTCTGGATATCAGAGCAATGGCAGTGATTACACATATGAAAGTTGTGGCTACCTTCACAGCTCCTACCCAGCATTCTCTATGCTAGCAGTGGAGAATTATGGAGAGTTAACTCATGACTATATAGGATAATGACATAAACAGATACACAATGAGCTCTCAGACAGTTTCTAATTTTACCTAAAGAACCCAGCCCTTATTCTGTAGTTTCATGCAGTGTTTGCTCTGGGCTGTATCGCTTTCTACTTCATGAAAGCAGAGATAATAAAAAGGAGGCAGAACTGGGACAGACAAAGAGACCTCCTACACACACGCACACATACACACACACACACACACACACACACACACACACACACACCCCGTATCAGGAATAATATGGGAGACTCCTGTTGTGTTGGCTGTAAAAACCCGCAAGCTTCTGTGGTGCGATTCATCAGAACAACTAAAAGATGTCAGCCTTCTCAGAGCTAGCAGCAGAAGCATACCAAACTTTAAATAAAGGATGACAGGAGGTGACAGCACAAAGGGATTCAAGAAGGACTATAAAAATTATTCCCTAATTTCTAACCAGAGCTTAACCCTAGTTTAAAATGTTTCACTGGGTCAAAGACATTTCATTGTCTAGGTAATAATAAACAGTCCCTACCATGAAGGAAGTTTAAAGGTCTCCCTTCTTGCTTTTTTCTCCCTCCATGCCCTATCCTCAACCACAATCACCTTTCTTCTTTTTCACCTCCGGCTTTTTATTGGATCCTTGCTCAATTTATCTAGATTTATTTGGCTTCAGTCAAGCCACTTTATGCTTCTTTATTCCTTTTGCATAGCATAAAAATAAATAAGGCAAGGAGAAATAGCCCCATCCTGCTTAAAGGCCCTCATTCCTTCTTTTTTCAAAGCCTTAACAAATCATCAAGCAATGAGCTAGGACTAAAGGTGAATTCTGTGTTCTGAGGCAAGAGATGGAAAGGGCAGGATATTAAAACACAACTGCAGATAACAGTCAGAACCTGCC